TTGTGGAATTTATTGACATTTGCATACGAAATCGCTGATTGCACATAAGTAGCCGAGTAATCGAGACGATTCGAATCGCGTGTGAAAGTCTGCTTGACAACCTCGAAGAAGCAATTTAAGATGTCGAAATTAACGAAAACGGCGCGCACTTGTTTCGATATTTTCATATTCCTTGCGGCATGTTTCATGCTCTTTGCAATATTAAAGTGGTTCCAGCCTTTTCGACGGGGCTTCTTCTGCCACGATGAATCATTGCAATATCCATTCCTGCAAAGCACAATCGGATCATCAGTAGTGCTACTTATTTCATTGGGAGTACCTTGTCTCGTTATTTTAACTGTGGAACTGTTCAAACGACTTAACAATACAGCATGCAAAAGAAAACCCAACGCTGGTACAGGTTGTCGTATTGGCTACCGCCTATTGCAGTGCTACAAACACGTAGGAATATTTCTTTTTGGTTTTGCTTTGACAATAACTGCTACAATGATTACCAAACACTCAACAGGACGCTTGCGTCCACATTTCTTTGCTGTGTGTCAGCCAGAACTGCCAGACGGTACCAACTGCTCAAACACTACCAACTTCGGACGCTACATCACTGATTATACATGCAAGAATTCAAATGCCACAGCCCATATGATATCGGAAGCAACTGTCTCCTTTCCGAGTGGTCACGCGAGTCTCATGTTCTATGCTATGCTATATGTGTCCATATACTTGCAGTCGACGCTTAGTACACGTGCTTCCAAGCTACTTAAGCATTTATTGCAATTCATTTTCATAATGCTCGCTTGGTATGTCTCACTGACACGTGTCGCCGATTATCATCATCACTGGTCAGATGTATTGGCCGGTGCTTCGCTGGGTGCGTTACTAGCCGTACTCGTTGCGGTATTCGTTGCTGAGTTTTTCAATTGCGTAAGACCTAACCAGAGGCCACAAATTAGACCTTCAACCTCGACCACATCGTCTGCGAAATCAGCGACACCTGTGCTGCCCGCTTACACCTTCGGCAGCATACCATATCTACACCATCCACACCAGTACGGCCAAACATATCACAACTATGGCTATGTGCCATGACGGGAATAGAGGCGCTACATCTTCACAATTTGTAACTGCTTTACGTAATTAGACTTAGAAGTACAAGAATTTTGTGTTCGTTGCAACTTTTTATTTATTCACATTTTTATTATTTTATTCATCGAATTTAGTGAAATTTTACATTTTTTTAAATAAAAAAGAAAAACAAAATAAAAAAAATGTAATTGCATTTTAATTCTTTAAGTCGTTTATTCAACTTTGCTACTCGTATTTCTTTATCGCTATGTGTGGAAAATTCTTGAAAATAAGAAACATCGATCAAACGTGCAAATATTATAAAAACATGTTAAAAAAATGTAATTATTTATTATTAACAAAATTGTTTAAAGTGTGAAGATATAACAAAAAAAAAACAATGAAAATAAACAAGAGAATATCAAGTTTCTGGCAGTAATCAAGCGAGGCCAAACAGAAGACTGCACTGAGCTTTGGGGCTTTGAAGAGTCGGGCTTGAATGCATTTCGATAAAATCTCGTAATTAAAAGTCGTAAATCAAAATAATTTTCCATAAATAAAATGTAAACAAAACATTATGCAGAATATTAAATAATACGAAAATTATGAAATAAAAAATGCATGACGGAAGTAAGACAGCGTACCGTCTCTGCTCAAGATTATGTAATGAAGTTTCATGAAAAATCAGCAAAATTTGACTTGCAAAAATTGTTTATGATATCAAAAATTCAATACTGAACAGAAATTTGGAAGAATCACGAACTTCAAATTTAGTTCCGCGATGTACTTGGATATGCGTCAGATCGACAGCCGCGAGCTGGGAGTTCCATTAGTCATCTTAGGAATTTCGCTTTTGGCTTAGGAAAAAAAACAGTTTCGATAAGTTAAAAATAGTCTAACTGAAAAAATTTAGTGGGAAAACCCTTAGACTTGCAACACAAAAGGGATTCCTATAATTTCTCAAAAGAATTAAATTACAATGACTTTCATTATAAAATAGAAATATTTTTTTTTTAATAATCGTATATATTCCAGATATTATATAGTTTCTGACGATATATACATATCATTAAATATATAATGTCAACAAAATTGAGTTAACATTTAATATATTATTATATATTAGTATTACTAAATATATGTAATGATTAAATATGGAGTAAATAATTTAAATACCTCGGTTGATTGAGAAACATATAATTAAATAAGCGCAATGGATTTTTTACACTAATTTCTTAAATTATAATATAAAAAAATAATTTAAGTTTATTTTTAACGTCCGTTTTGATGAATGAAACTACATTTTTGGTATTTTGAACAGTAGTAAATTACAGCAATAAAATTTTATTATTTATTAATTAATTGAATTTATGGCTCAGCATACAGCCGTCTCGAGTATTGTCAAATACCCATCATCAGTGGTCTTTAGAAATTATTTCTTAGATTTGATTATGCGTAAATAATTTTTTAAGACTACAAGTATCAAGGTTTGAACTCACGCCCTACCAAACTTGAAGCTCAGAGTCAGCGTTCATAAGTCAACTGACCCAAAGCCGTACTCGACTTTTATGTTTCAACTTGAAGTTTTTTGTTAATTTGGTGTGAAAGTTCATTAACAAATTCACATGTTTCGTTATGATAGAATGAAATCGTAAACCAGATGTAGAATAATTGAATTAATTAATTATATTGCTTATTTTTGATTCTTAAATTTCATTACTGTTCTTTTGTAGGGACATTATTTATTTCGTGCTTTTATATTATTCTTTCTTGTGTGTAGAACCTAATCTAGGAAACTAATACGGTTATTAGAACCTAAAATAATAAAACTAAATTAATTTAATATTTATTATTATAATGTGATATTAATACTCGAGTTCAAAATTTGTTATTTCTCTTTTTTTTGTGGATACACATGAAGGAATTATTGAAAAATATTAAAATTTCCCGCCTATAAAAACTAAGTTAAAGAAGTTTCTACTTCTGAATATCGGACATCTTTAGATTAAACGACACAACTTTGCTTACGCAGCAATTATTATTATTTATTTATTTTTGACTATACAATAAATTATATATTTCAGAGAAGTCGTATGCACACAGTTACTAAAAAGATTTCATATAATCCATTAGGTAAGCAAATATGACCAGAGAAGAAAAAATTGATGTGCCAATCTGTTAATGCAATCTTAACATGCAGTAGTAAGAATTCATTTAAACTTAAAATTTTAAATATTATACACAATATATAAAATAATAAAATGAATAAATTAGGACTATTTTGTTTTTTTTTTCATATTAGAGAAATATTATTTTTAAACTTATAATTATGTTACAAAAATATGAGTAGATTGACAAAAACAACTAGTAAAATATTAAGTCTATTTCTCTATATAAATGAAGAAGAGTTAGATTTAGATCATTAGGACAGCTGTTAAAACCATCTATACAATTAAAGTCAGGAAACATATAGGCCATGGACATGCCATACATTTTCTGAGAAGGACTTAAAAGTTACGAAAATGTCTTCTAAATAAAGCTCACAGAGATTATGCAAAACGATTTGGATCATGAGGGCTATTCTTATTGGGATCCATATAATTCAAAATAAAATATTTTTTTCCACTTCATATTCTTACCAGGAGTAGTGACGTACCAGACAAATAATAATATCATTACTATACTACATAGATACTGTTCATCGAAAAACAAGTGGAGTATTTTAACTACCTACAAAGTCTTCAGAATTATGTCTGAATACACATTCAATTAATAATGCACTTAACCTGTGTTATCGTGCGATTGAAAGAACTACAGAACGCTTGTCTATAATTGAATCGAGCACATAAAATATACATTCGTAATAATAATGAACACAAAAAAGAAGTGACCGATGGTAAAAAAACCGTTGAAGCACAACTTCTCTTTCTTTCTGACTCTATTAAAAAGTTGACAAAAGTTTTACGGAACTAACAATAATTTCGTTCCTGATATTTGGTTGAACCAGCTTTGAAAGTTCGCTAATGACACACACATTTTAGGTAATATGGGGTTTCATTAACTGTCTCTAAAGTATCTTATCTGGTCACGCTACGGATTTACTTATTTGGTTTATAAGTGACTTCAAGTGACTTATAAGTGAACCGTTTTACCTACCTTATATAACTTCATACTAATTACATATCTGTTGTATTTTAATCTTGACTTAAAAAATTATTTTACCCGCCCATCTAGAGAAGTAATATATACGATATGTGCCATATTTGATATATCCTTACCACTCTTACTTGTGCCTTATTTGTATATATTATTCTAATATCCTCTAGACGTCCTATAACTTCGAAAAGCGTATTATTTTAACAAAAAACAAATATGACAATAAAAAAAAACATTAATAATAATTTTTTTATAAACAATATGTAAATATTTACTTTGATTATTTTACGGTTTCTTTATTATTTATTTGCTCTACCTAGAACGGTACAAAGATTTATATTTGAAATAAGAAATATTGCAAAATTTCTTTTAACTTGAATAACAAAATTAATTCAGAAATCGAAATGAAAGAAATATTAACTGGAACTGTTATTTGATCCAATAGAACTTTTCTTAACTTCATTGTTAGACATTAAAGACATGGAGTCAATGGTCGATTCTCTAATATTTCCGAAACAAAAAAAAACTCGCAAAACAGTTTTGTTTTCATTGTTGGACAACGTTAAAAAAATTCTAAGTATTTTTTTATTTAACTTTACATTCTCTCCACTCTTGTAATAGCAAATTTTATTCAGAAACTGCCAATTTATATTAAAAAAGACAGAAATTGGTTTGCAGCAACGCGAACGAATTACCATAAATTAGCATGAAAAGCAGTTCTGCGTAGCGAAGGCGCAGCTTCGGGTTCTCTAGAACAACTTTCAGCGACCGGCCGCCACATCTCAACGACTCGTTAATATATGAAATTGCGCTGATAACCTTTTCACTTCGCTGTGACAACTCGAAAAAGCAACACCGAACACCGAACGTTGAATATCGAACTCTGATAAACCTGAAATGTGCAAAAATCCGAATTTGAGGTTTCTGACGCGCCTCCTGGTAGATGTCTTCATTTTGCTCTGTGTCTCTTGCGGTGCATTGGTGGTACTGCCAAAAACAGTGCACACATTCGAGCGTGGCTTCTTTTGCTCTGATGACACACTTATGTATCCGTACGTGGAGTCAATGCTCAGCAAAGTGCACATGACGATCGTCATTGTGGCGATACCAGCTGTGCTTGTTTTGATAGTGGAAATGCTGAGAGCTGCGCTGCAGAACGATAAAGGCAAGCAGCAGTTCGCTTTTGTGGGCATTGGAATACCGACATTTATCAGTGAATGTTACAAGGTTATTGGCGCATATCTATTCGGCATTTCTTTGGTTGTTGCTGCAGTGCAGACGACAAAGCATTTGGTGGGCCGGTTGAGACCTTACTTTTTTGATGTTTGCCAACCACGACTGCTGGATGGCACTACGTGTGAACACATGCAAAATCAAGGAGCGTATCTTGTGAATTATACTTGCTCTGAGCTCTCAGCTTCCTCAGAACTACTGAAAACTGTGCGGCATTCATTTCCAAGTGGCTATGCAGCAAATACTGCTTATGCCATGTTCTTCTTAGTGTTTTACTTGCAAGCACGTATGACGACTGCTTGGTTGAGGTTGGCGCGTACCGCTTTACAGTTTTGCTTTGCCACAATCGCTTATGTTGTCGCTTTGGAAAGAGTGTCATCGCTGCGGAACCACTGGTCAGATGCCCTTGTTGGGTTCGTAGTGGGTTTAAGTATTGCGGCCTTTGTGTCAGTTTGTTTAGCTAAGCTTTACTGGACACCGCCGTTGAGGAAACGTAGATCGCTGAAAGATAAGAACCCTATTTACGCTTACAGTTTATATGGGTTTTACGGGCTCAACAAGAAAACGCCGAAGTATTTTTAAGCCATGATAAATATGGTAATGAAGTATTATTGTAAAATTTATTATGTTCCGATATATACTATAATTTAAGTATTAACAGATGTAATCGAATAATATTTTCTATAACTTTTGCTCACCATTTGTAGAATTTAAGTATTATTTTCGCACTTACCTGAAAAGAAAAATGTATTTAATTATTATTTTAAATAAAATAAATGTGTAAATATTATAAAAACTTTAAACCGAAATTTATTTTAATTTTATTTTATTAATATTATAAATAAAGTTTAGTTTAACTGGGTTTAAAACTATATATATTAATGAATTTAATTCAACTGTTTTTTTAAAATAATTTTTCATATATTAAGATTTTTATATTCATAGTTCTTAAAAACTATTTTATCTCTCATATATGAAAAGATTTTACAATGAAATGAAAAATGTTTAAAGAACTTCCTACTTAGTCGAGCTTTGCTCCTAAAGACTTAACTCTTATATGCGTAAAATAGAAAGAAAATGTAAATAATATTTTTACCGGATTAAGATATTTATATTATATTTTAATTATAATGTATAATATAACATTAAAATGGTATTCTTTAATAAGTTCTTCTCTCGAAAAATGAAGATTCTTGATTGGAGAATACTTTCTGCAAAAATTGGATTGTGATGTATAGTTTTGCAGAAAATATTTAAAAGGAAATATGATAGAAATAAGCACTAAAAAAAATATTTTAATAATTTGGATTTTTAAAAACATGTACATTTTTCAAAAATATAATTATGTTATTTTTGTCACTGAGTTATTTACTATATATAGAACAGTGAATTGAATTGTATTGAAGGATACATAACAAGCTTAAAACTGATGAATGGTGCAGTAGACGTCCATTACTCATATAACGAAAACTCAGTTTTACAAATATTGAATTAAATGATCGACAAGGTATTGTCAATGATTTAACGAATACTGCCAGAGAATATTAATACGAAAGGGATTCACTGTTTTTTTTTGATTTTACCAACTTTTTGATGTACCGAATAGGCCGTATACTAAGTCCTGCACTGTATATCATTATTATGTTTTTTTAAGAACTCGTTTTTTACACATTGCAGTTACTATGACGATCAATTTCTTTGGGATAGTTTACATTTCGGTGACAGGAGTCTCCAAAAAAGACATTTATTAAAATAAGCATTTAATCTCTTTATTTACCAGGAGAGAAGAGGGATTTGGAAAATGATGTGTTTGGCAAATTTGTTTATGTATTTATTTGTAGTAAATTTATTGCAGAAAAATTTTATTTCTATTAATAAAAATTTTTTTTATTAACCTTTGATATCTTCATTTTTTAACTTTAACTTTTAATTGCCAGATGTCTAGGAGATGAATCTGGTTACAGATTTGAGCTTAGCATGCCCTAAATTAATTTAAAGCTATTTGATTATAATGTAAGAGAATTTAGTATTGCGTAGTGTGATCATTCTTAAGTTTTTATTTCTATTTTCGTCTGTTTCAGTGCAACTTTTTTAATAAATATCAGTTATATTAGTTATTATTAGGTTATACCGTCGATCTCAAGGGATCCACTTAGGCATATAGGCCTATTGTGCTACCATATTATTAAAAATCAGAACTTTTGGCAAAGCTAATAAATATTATATAAAATTTAATTTTATTATTTCAATTTTCTTTATTTTTTTATTTTATTAGTTCTATATTATTATTTTTATTTTATTATCTATTTTATTCTATTATTTATTATTTTTGTATTATTTTTAATATTTATTATTTATATTATTTATTATAATATTATATAATGTGATTTCATTATTTCAATTTTATTTATTTTTTCATTTTATTTTATTTTATTTTATTTTATTTATTATTTATTTATTATTTTTATTATTTATTACAATATTATATAATATTTAATTTTATTATCAATTTTATTTACCTTTTTATTTAATTTAATTTATTATATATATTGTGTATTATTTATGCTATTTATTATAATATTATATAAAATATAATTTCAATATTTTAATTTTATTTTTATATATTATTTTTTATTTTATTATTTATTTAATTTTAATATTTATTATTTATATTATATATTATTTTTTTATATTATTTATTGTAATATTATATAAAATTTGATTTTATGATTTCAATTTTATTCACTTTTTTATTTTATTTAATTTTATTATATATTTTATTTAATAATATTATTTATTATTATATTATAATAAATTTTTTTTTTTATTCAATTCAATTATTCAATTTTATTTATTTATTTTATTATTTATTTTATTTTATTATTGATTTAATTTTAACTAAAATTTTGAAAAAACTTCAATAAAAAGTACGTTACTTTTGGAAGAGCTTTTAACAAGAACTTTTTATTGGAAAATCTAACGACTGATCATAACAAAACTTGCGTTCCACACACACAATATGTTCCACAAACTGCTGCTCATTTTTAGTAAACTTATTAGCGCCACACAACCGAAAAAAAAGCAACTAGCAAAAGCAAGTAATCAACGTTAATTCTCATGTCAGCGTTGATAATAAAAGCGAAACCAGCTCCGCTGCTGCCGATTAATTCCATTATTAACAGAAGCGCCACGAAGTCAGTTAAATCTGCTCGGTATGTGACGGTTGAATCGCTTTATGACTTTCGGGAGCAAAGCTCGCTCATTAGTCAATCAACATTCAACAAGTCGAATGAGTTAAATAAATTGAATGGGCAAGTAATACAATTTGTGCAACAACAAATTAAACAATTGAGCTGCGTGTAGCTGGCGTAAGAGGCACTTCTCACAAAAGTAACAACAAATAAATTAAAAAACAAAAAATTTGTTTACAACTTTAATTCACGCGTGGAGCTCAAACCGTCTTGTTTACTGTTTTCTTAGTTTGATTTTATTTTTTATTGAAACTTTTATTTTTATTTTTATTTTTTTATTATTAATTTTCTTTACATTGCATTTTTGCACATTTTTGCATTTTTACTTAATATTTTTTTTATTGAATTTAATTGTTATTGAAGTGAGAGCAGTGCAACGAAAATATCAGCGGAGCGTTAACTTCATTTTTAGCGGGAAAAATAACCAAAATGATTTTCATTTTCATGTGCATTTTTATTTTTCATTCAAATTTTGTTTTTGTTTTCAATATTTCAATATTTTAATTAAAAATAATTCACAATCGCCTCTGATTGAAGTTAAAGTGAAAATTTCTTGAAATTATGCGTTTATGCGTTTTTATCATTAATTCAACGCAATACTTTTCATGCACTCAATAAAGCAAAATAAGAGATTTATAATTAATTAATTTCCCCGAAAAAAAAAAACAAAAGTTAAATAAAATAAAATAAAAATTTAGTGGATCAAGTGCAGGCGCAGTGTGAAAGTGCAATCATATTTTGATGTATTTAACGCGTAATGGAAAGATAAAATTGTAATTGCAATAACTGTTTTCCCTTCACTTCTTTTCAGCGCAAATGCATTCTTAATTCAATTAATTTTTAATTGATCAATTAATGCACTGCGCATTTGCATCGATCCATTAAAAGTATTTTACAATAAAATTACATTACATTTATTTCATTTATATATTTACATATGTATATAAAATTATACCAAAAAGTGCAACAACAAATGCATCAACATTTGATATATTCATTTTATTATCAATTAACTATATGCAAAAACCAAAACATTTAAGGAATATATTAAATAAAATATTTTTAAATAAATAAATTAATAAGTGACATATCTCGTCAGTCTAGTATAACGTAAAGCTTTCTATATTTTTATTGTTTTAAATATTTTTTCATATATTAATATTCGTACTCTCGAATACAACAATTTTATGCAAGAAATAATTTTCATATAGTTGCAATACCATTACTAACATTTTGCTTTGTGTGTAAACCTCATATTCAATTGAGGTCGAGTTCAACTTTAATCTAATTGACAGTTTAACTTCTATTCCGATGTTCGTTCGTAAACAAATGTTAATGGGGAGGGGAGAGATCAATTGTTTCTGAACGAATTTTTTTATTAATGTTTCGTAGCCGAACTGTGGGTTCTCTCTCATTTTCATATAAACTGTAGTGTCAGACATACAGACTAAATTATTAATAATAAAATCGCTTAATTTCAATAAAAGTAAAATCATTTGTTTTTGCTCTTGATTCGTAGTGGTTCTTACGGAAGACTCACACTGGCGTGGGTGCTCTAAGTTCCGGGGTGCTCAATAATTCCACTGTGGACTTGTGTTCGTTATAAAATTTTTTATATGAACGAAACTTAAAATAACATAATTTACTATGGTAAATGAAGGAACAGTTTTTAATAATGAATTAAGGAGTTAAAACAACTATATTTTCAACTAAAAAGATGGACTCAAAAAAATTTATTTGGTAATTATGTATAAATTAAATGTGTGTTAAAAACAAAGTAACAAAAAATGATAAATTAATAATAATATAAAAAAACAATATCAAGATATGTATATGTAAAAAATAATAACAGTTAATATGTGAATAGTTGAAAAAAAATTAATATTGGAGTTTTCCTCTTTAAATCGATAAATATTTCTATATAAAGAGTGTAAATTTGTACAATATTATATTTTTATTTATTTATATTGAGTAATCCATTTTATGGTTTCGAAAATAAACAAGAACACACTCGTGATTAAGACTTTGAAAAAGTTATAATTTTTAAATATATAAATATTTATATATTATTATTACATAATGTTATTTTGAGGTTTATATGCTCTTATGCATATATATGTATAATATGTCTCGGACCATTTTACACTAAATGAAATGAAATTATTTGAATTGACTGCTTTCATAAAAACTTTAAATTAGTCTTTGAAATCCCCTTAATTAAGACTCTAGATACGCCTCTGATTGCATTATTTAATTAGGCCTAAATTTCAACATCATTCCAATGTTTTCCACTTGGCCTCAGTTGTAGATCCTTTTAAGGTAATTTTCGGTAACTTCTTGATACACAGATGAGAATGCCTAAGTCATAACTTAACGATTGTGTATTTTCAAAGCATTGTGCTTGAAGATTATCACCATAAATATGATCCTTATGTAGCCTTTCAAAAAAAAAATCAAGCGTTGACAAATAGTAAGTGTAGTGTGCATACACATATTGACACAGCACACAAATAACCATTAATTCCTCTAACCTGGGAGACTGTGATTTGATTCCCGGTATGCGAACCAACTGAAGATTATTTGTGTGCTGTGTCAACATGTGTATGCATACTACATAAGTCTGGTGGCAATAAAACCAAAATATGACTGGCTGTAGGGCTTTTGACACCATATTTCACAAAAAAAAATTTTTTTGGAACCATTGGAAATTAAGTTTGTGAACTGATAACCTATTGCAGCGTGTCTAGTTGAGAAACTAAACATTAATCTTAGTTAAAGTTTAAGTAAATTGAGAAGCTGATAATAATTTATGTTGTTAATGAGTGATTCGGATTGCCTTGAATCTGACGTCGGTTCATAACTTTGGATATAATTTGTATTTTAGGTTTCTAGATACTGCTGCAGTCTGATAAGTTGATATCCAGCAGAAAGCTATGTATTCTATGAAGCAAGTCAAAAAACCCCTCTTTGTACTTCTCTTCATTGTATTATTACCATCGAATCTCTCGTTGCCAGATTAATATCGTAATATCGATTAATATTCGTATTAGACAAATCAAATATTAAATTTTGTTTTTAACGTCAGTTACGAGGACAGTAATAATTTTCTTAATAAAAACTATTGTATTTAATAGGTGCATTTCGCACAGTAGTGAATTATAACACCAAATTACAAAAAGAAGAACTATAATAAAAACAACAACAACTAACAATCCAGGTTGGTAGGGAACGCGTACCACCTTTGGTTAAAAAAAATTGATTTACATATTATTATACAAATAATACAATATTATATTGTGTATATTATATCAAAATTATTATATAAAAAATAAATCTAAGATAATTAGGTATTTGGCAATACTTAGCTATGTCATGGTCATGGTCAGCCAATTCAATCAATTCAAATAATAAAAAATTTGTTGTTCTAATTTACAACTGTTCAAAACCTCTCTAACAAATCAAATATGTAATATTTGCAGAGTTCATCAATCATAATGATTTTATACCTACCAAACTATATGAATATATAATAATGCTGATATTTTTATATTGCTATATTTGGAATATAAATTTCAATAGCATGCAATGCTATCAAAAAAACTCTCGAAAATTTTTCACTAAAAAAGTTTTATTAAATTGAAGTACATGGCTGATTCATAAGTGAGCCAAATACAGATATATGGTATGTTAAGTGTATAATACCATACGATACTTTCATCCACTGTTCCTACAATACCAACTTTGGAATTTGTACGATATTTTAAAAATTACTATAAATATAGTATACATAATGACATCTATCAGTGTTTGGCTTCGTAGATGATCTACATCCTTCATCCTTCATAATATGACTGAAATACCATAATAAATAAAATCACAAAAGGTGATTAATCTAATAGTTAGGAAATTAGTCAAAGTCATATTATCAATAATTTATTTAATTTTTATTTTCATCATATGTTATTTATTATACATGTTAATGTCTCAATGAATAGTCTTATATTATTTATTGTTTTAAAAATCAATTTAATCAAAGTCAAGTATTTTATACCCCGGCTTCTAATTTGAACCTGTTATTCTCTACTTCATTCAATTATTTTATTATTGATAATTCACAAGTTTATTAATTTTATTGTTTATTTGAACTACGATGTCTTCTTACTTACTTATACTTACTTATAAACTGGAAGCTGATGTTTTAATCAAATTTAAAAAAATCAACAGAATATATCATATCATTTAAGACTAGTAGATACTTGTAATATGTATATATACATATATAGATAAATCTGTATATATATTTATATGCATAAAAATAATAAAAATTTTAAATGCCAAATGAAAAATAGAAAATGCGCTCCTGATTTTCCCGATATCACTAATATCGCTTAAGTCCATGCCTTACGCTTTGCCGCCTGGTAATGTCAACAACAGCAAGTGCAGTCCACATTTATAGAATGAAAGCGATTATTGTTTCGTCATTATCTGTGATTCATTGATAACAATTTTACGCAATGTTGCCGCAATATAGTAAAATTATTGTTGTTATTATTGTTATTGTTGTTATTTATTGGCAAACGCTAATGTTTATGTTTATGGCAGAGCGGGAGATTTTATTGGCGTTTTGAAATCGAGCGCGGCGGAGTGTTTCTTTGCTTGAGCGCCAATTCAGTTGCGGTTCGTGCGATCTTTTTCTGAAATTCTGCTGTGAAAGCCACTTTGTACCCTGACGCATTGTAGGAAAACATGAGATCGCAAAAATCTTGGTGCTATTTGATATTTGTTTACTTAAGAATAATAAGGAAAATAATTATTTTTAATATCAAATAAGCAGTTTTAGTAATTTGAGAGACAAGTGGGCAATGATTTATAAAATTTTTAGTTATCTTATTAAACGATCGTATATCAAAGTTAATACACTTAAAAAAATTTTTATTATTTTAGTGGTTAATAGTTTTAATTAACTAAGAAAATATATTGTATTTTAAAATAGTTATTTTCATTTTTGTCATTTACAAAAGACATCTTATTATGCTTTAATGAAATGATCTTTATTTATTACATTGCTCAGATAAATAAAAAAAAAAAACACTAATAATAGTCTACAAAGTTGACCAACAATTTCAAAGATATAGAAATTTTTTTTTAAATTATTTCAAAATTTATTACACTCTCCTCTTCTTTTTTGCTTGATGAAACGCGTATTTAAAGCTCTTTAACTTAATAGTTTGTATGATCACTTGAAGGATATACTATAACAAATGTTCCATTCAAATGTTTCATGTTATTTAGATGATTTCATAGTAATATAGTTTGAAATCCAGCATATCTTTCAGATGGATTATATATTTAAAAATATTTCAAAACTTATTATGCTCTCCTCGTCTTCTTTTTTGTTTGATGAAAAGCTCTTTTACCCAACAGTTCGTATGATCACTTGAAGGATCCACTTGACGGATTACTAGAGTGAGTATTCACAGAATTAAACATTTTCAGCTCTCTGTCTTGGATGTGTTTTACAAATATTTTAAAACTAATTATTAATTTATAAAAAAATAATATGAATAATATGTATAAAAAAATATTAATATAAAAGTTAAAAACTAGGTTTAACAGTCAGAGTATATTAGGATTGCACATTGCTTAGAACATCCATAATATATATAAAATATAAGATGTGGTTTGCAAAAAAATTGAACTATGTTTTAATGATTTTGTTATATTTTTAAGTAAAATTAGTAAAGATATTCAAAAATATCTGAAAAAAATAATTGCTAAAATTTTAGACAAAATTAAGTAATTACCTTCAAAGGTTTTATAGAAAATTATGTATTAAAATTAATTAAAACAAATAAATTAAAAATGATGGTTAAAATTATCTCAAGAAAACAATTGCAATGAATGAAATGAAAATCATATTTTTTTTTAAAGTTCTTCTTAGTGTCATGGGGCATAGGATCGCAATTCTACTTTTAATCTTATTAAAACAGAATTAATATTAATATCAAATAAACAATTATTAGTTGTTTAAAATGATTAAATTATAATGATAATGATTAAATTATTAAAAATAAATTTCCAACTAAAACCATTATAAAAACTTTATTTCTGGAATGATTCTAAAAATCTTGATTTTTTTCAGTGTCGCCCCTTTTCGTTCTGTCAATTCAGTTAAGTACGACAAATGATAGTAAAATTACTATAACCAGCTTTGATATGTTCTCTCAACGCATACCAGCAGAATTATTAATACAATAAAAAAATAAGCAGAATAAATAATGCGAATGTGAACAGAAGTCGAAGGCGCAGATAGAGCCGAAAGAAGCTAAACAGTTTTTTAAATAAATTACATGAACATTGTCAGCTCAACTTCAGTCACTGAACGAGCGACCCTGTGACGCGCATCGTTGACTACGGGCAACGCTGAATGCTGAAAGCTTAACGCTCAACGAACGAATTTAAAATTAACGAATTTACAAAAAACCAAACTAAAGCAGCTGAAATTATTAACTAATTAAAATATATTTAAAGTTGTGCGCTCTAACTGGCCACTGACGTCATCCGAATACAGTAACAAGGAGCATTTCCTCATTCTTCGACACCATTGCAGAGACGGTCTTAATTAGCAGCACTGCGTTAATTGAACTTTCCCAACAAGTGCAGCCATTGTATCTGAGCAGTAATTGAAGTAAAAGATAGTGTAATAACAGAAATGCAGCCCACAACAGAAGCCGCCGATTCGCAGACGGCTTTGCGAGCAGAACGCAAGCAGGCGCAGCGCATACTTTACGATTTACTCATAGTGATTTTGGCAGTTATTCCGATTATTATTTGCGAATTCGGCATTGAACCATATCGGCGTGGCTTCTTCTGCGACGATGAGAGTATACGTTACCCCTTCCATGGCAATACGGTCACAGAAGTAATGCTAGGATTGCTGGCAGGTGGACTGTCGCTTGTAATGGTAATAATTGTGGAATTTGTGCGGTTTTACCGACGAGTTGAGCTGAGTGAGAGACGCAATTTCTTTGGCTGGAGAATGCCCGTTTGGCTGTATGAGTGCTCCAAGCAAATTTCAACATTTACTTTTGGTATGTTGCTCGTATTGGACGCCACCGAATTGGGTAAATATACCATAGGTCGTCTAAGACCACATTTCATGGCAGTTTGTCAGCCGATACTAACTGATGGCACCACTTGTAATGATCTATCAAATCGACATCGCTATATTGAAAACTATGTATGTGCTGGAAATGGTTATAGAATTGAAGATGTCCGCCAATCGAGGCTTTCATTTCCAAGTGGACATTCCAGCATTGCCTTCTATGTCACTGTTTATCTAGCAATTTACTTGCACTACCGATTAACCTGGCGAGGTTCTAAATTGCTGCGTCATTTCCTACAATTCATTTTACTAATGCTTGGTTGGTTTACGGCATTGAGTCGCGTTATGGATAACTGGCATCACTGGTCCGATGTACTTGTCGGCATTCTGCTGGGCATTGTTGGTGCTGTAATTATGACGCGTTGCGTCGCCAAATTGCACAAAGATGGACGTATGTGCAACTTAAAGCTAAGCCTTCCACGTGCTCCTACCACTACAACTTTACAGGAAGTCATATCCACACCGCCACCTTACACCCTCAACACAATGAACGGCTTCAGTAATCAACAGTATTGCACGAAAATGTAATCTACGCTCTCAGTTAATACCACAATAAATAAATTCAAACGAATTGTTCTCATAGATTTACGAATTACTTTACTTAAGTTAAGTTACTAAAATTAGTGTCTACTATCTAGTGTTTAGTGTTTAGTTTCTAGTGTCTAGTGTTTTTCATTTAGTTTCATTGCCAAAAAAATCAGGCTAAATTCATTGAGAACTCATAGTGTTCGTCGGTGAAGTGAAAAATTGCTCTTCCAATGCCGATTTTGTTTTAAAAAATTTACAATTTCATGAATTTTATGAATTTTTTCATTCTTGAATTGTATTTCATTGTTCGTTAAATAAATTGCTTTCGTTTTCATTTGAGTTTGTACTCTGATTCCGATTTGTTATTATCGCTCTAAATTGGAGCACATCGCGTCGCTATTGCCAAACATTTTATCGATGTGCCGTCAGCGCTACCAGCGCACAATGGATTGTTTGGGTCTTGGCCACGTTTTTACCTGAGTAAAGCATTGTTTACCATTAACTCAGGTATGCCAGTGAGCAAGCACATTGTTTCACACACAATCATGTTTACATTGTTTATTTGTTTTTATTTCAAATAATTAAAATTATTATGAGAAATATATGTTTACTCCGAAGCGGGGCAGAGTGTCGATGAGACATAATTTCAAAAATAGACCCAACCCATTCCAATAATAAAAATAAAATATGATTCATCACTAAAATATACTTCAGAGTCAATAAAAAATAAATCACTTCCCGGTTCATAAGGATTTTTTATACAAACTTAGAAGATTGTATTAATCCCATAAATATAATTAGAACAGAATTGAAGCAATAAGATTTGTGTCTTGTTCGATTTAAAATATAAAAATATTATATATTATATAAATATTATATATGTATGTTAAAATTAGAAATAATTATCTGAAAATAGAAATAATTGTAAGAATAAAGTCTACACAAATGCGTAGACTTTTATTAGTTTTAATAAATTTATAAATAAATTATATTTAGTACGCTCTTTTATATTGTATATAAAAGTTTAAATAAATGTTTTTCAAGCATAAAATTATTTAAAAATTTACTTATTAATTTAAAAACGAATCACTTCTATAATAATAAATAGATTTTAATTTACCTCAAATATTTAAAACCATTGTTTTACGAGTACAATATCGTTCATGATGAGAAAATAAAATATTTAATTTTTTTTTAACCATGAGTTACTTCCACGTCTACCTTACAGTAAATAATACTTGTATAAGCTCTTGTTGATTCTATTTTTGGATATTGAGTTGGATCTTTTGTAGTGCTATCAATCAGCTTAATCATTCCCCTTTTAGCACTAAAAAGATGAAGCGATAACTATTGTTCTCGTATCCTGAATGGTTAAAGACATATTTTTGTATTTTGTGTTCCTTTTTTATTTAAAAACAGGAAATCTACAAGTGTTCAATAGATAACCTGTCTTTTCGTATGTTTTTTAGAATATCCGTAATGATCTGTAACAATCCTTTTTCATCCCTGCGTTTCATGACTAAACGGTTAATGCAGTTTAGTGTTGAAATTTATTTGTAATTGAAACGAAATTTGTGATCCAGGTTTCACTAGTACTTTTTTTATCTTCTGATTGTAATATTATTATATATCCTGCTTCAAAAGTAATAAAGGCCATCCGTGTTATCAGCACCATAACAGGTACTTGAACATTATTCATGTTTAAGTGAGCTGCTACTCCAACCTAAACATACCCAAGTTAAAGCGAACTCATCATTTTAACGATGATCAGTTTAATTTTAAATCTGATTGAAAGTAATAAGGATTTAACCAAGACCAATGATGAGTTTCATATATCAATTTGATTTTCACAAAAATTTTGCAAACGAGTAAGACAGAGTAAAAATGCTGGGAAAGAATTTCATACAGTTTTTAAAAATGATGTTTCCTTTAGTTAGCACATTTCTTAATTTCTACCCACTTAAGGTGCTATGAGCTGGCATTTTGGCTTAACTTGGATATAGTTTTTATGATAACATATCTGTTACTTGATTTGCATATTTTTGGTGCAATTTTTTTATCTGCTTATATCACTATATGTTATGTGTAAATGTAAGTTTTTTTCAGCAGACCATGCTTGATAGGGTGGAACTAAGAAAGATTATAGAAATATTACCTTTATTTCTCTAAATGTGTTTTTATTTCAGAAACACTCATTATAAGGAAAACAATATTTTCCCATAACAGTAGGTATATAGTATACGATCAACTTGTTTTCGAAAATAGTATTTAAATATTATTTGTTTATAGTACAAGTCGCTTAATTCAAAATTTAATAATTTTCAGTTCCACAAAAATTTTCTCCAGAAAGTAGATGTACTTGCATTGTAATATAATTTTAGCATCTCTCTTGTTGTAATTTCAAGTAAGAAACTCATACTCATAGTAACCGCAATGAGTTTTAGGACACTCTTTTTCCATTATATTAACATCTCTATATTGAATTAATGAATCAATGAATCTCTGTCGTGGAATCTGTTCTATAAATGAGCTGAGTGCATATTTAAGAAAAGAAGCCAATATTTTCTTGCGATGTTTTAAAAATTGTACAGAAATATATTAATATATTTTAATTATTTAGAATTTTGATTAGAAATCTTCAGATGAGAGAAGAGAGAGAGGAACCTATTATATTAATCGTTTGTTAGATTACGTATTTGTATTTCATTTAGGTAAGACTTAGCGCATACTTTTGAGTGCCGACTAAATGTTCGTTTTTGATGTTCACAAATACCTATCTGTAATTTAGTATGACAGTAAAGAAAAAAAAAATAATTAATGGCGAATGGATTCTATATATATAATTTATTAAACGCAATTTCTAGTTTTTTAAGTTGGTTGTTGGTAGTCCATGCTGCCTATCCCAGAAGTTCGAGTTAAAGCTGTCTAAAAATTAAAGTTAAAGTATCAGTTAAAGTATGCATTTGACTTGTTTCTTATTCTGAAGATAATATTAGCATATCGATGAAAAGGTTTCAAGTCGATTCCCTGAAGGAGTTGGAGACTATATCTCAATTAGCTTATGAAAAATACATATATGTGGTGAAACAGTGGTGTTGTTGTATTGAACACGATGAAAGCAATTTCAAAATCATCAGAAAAAATTTGTGTGATTTCATGTAATTTGTTTCAATTCCGAAGATGAGATAGATATCTCATTACGATATAGGGGTTTCGAGTGTATTGTGGACATCGAAGAAATTCCCTTGTTAAAGGCTATAGAAATGTTGCAATTGCATCTTTTTGAATGCACTGGCTTAGTTTTGTTGACTCTTTTGTGTTCTTCAGTTCTGAATATTTTGTGCATAGAAAGCGCTGTAATCAATTGTGAAACTAACTGAACTAACTTAAGTGAAAAGCTTACGAAGTTCGTCTGATTTTAAATTTATTTAAATAAAAAAAATGAGAAAATTTTCATAACTTTGGTTTTAATTGAACTTCATTCAAAATAAAAACTAATAATTTGCGATAAATAAATGAATTTGTTTCTGATGAATGAAGGCGATAAGGAGCATTTTGCTAGTCACGTTTGTTCGATAAAATTAACTCATATTAAATTTATTTAGTAGCAGTAACTAATTTTATTTGAAATGATTTTTAAATAATTTTTTCATTATCAACATTGGCCATTAATTGGTTGTCATTTTAAGTCAAAAAGAAAAAAACCCCCTAACTAAACTTATTCAAACAAAGTTTTTTTTTCTTTGATAAGAGAATATTTGCAACAGGTGTTAATGTTTGCTCTTATATTTACCAAATTTTTTTATTTTTCTAATTTTGTTTAAATTTTTCAATGAAAACCAAATAGAGTAGTTGTTAATTTATTGAAATATTGTGGGTAATTTTAACAGATATCTATTTTTATACTGAAATTCTTGAGAGAGTGATTAGACGTGGTTATACATTATGCAGTGAGTAAGTCAGTTAAAGTATTTAATTGTTTAATAAGATACAATTGAATTAAAATAATTTTCAGTTGTTTGCTGCTCAATTAATTACTAAGTTTAGATATGAGTTACTCGCTACTTAGTCACTTTTTAAAGTTTAGATAAACAATTATGGCACATCATTAAGTTTAAAAAGCGTTTATACTGAATTAATAAATGGATTATCTTCGTAATAACACTGAGGTTGATTCATTCCTTATTATATTTCAATGTTAAGGTAGTCAGTCATTAAGTTATTTTGCTGTGCAGTGGAATGAATTAGCATTTTTCGTTTAATTCCAGGCCGTTTAAGAAGTCTTAAGTGAGATAAGAAATTACGCAAAACGAGATAAAAACGATGAAAAATACAGACATTTACGTTGTTCAAAATTTGTGAAACAATTTAAGTAATTTCCTCAAAATTGTGCCGATTTGAAACAAACTCAACAGCTTTGTTGTCGTTGGCACTTGTTAACAAGTTTAATTTCTGACGTTTTACACGAAATGCCTTTCTGACATTTTTCGGTGTTTTTGCCCACATCAACTCACACCTCCCGAACATTTTCTAAAACCGCAAATGTGAGCTATTGACCCCACCTGCCCAGCATGAGAACAGCATAGAAAATGTCTCTGAGTTTAGAGCTCAGAGTGTTGCTCAAAATCCACCGCACGACTTAAGGCGACAAATCAGTCGAAAAGCACGCAAACTGCTCCCGGCAACATTCGCTACAATAACGCACATTAGAAATCCTGGCTAATGTTGGCACGACGGCATAAACCGCCAAGACTGGTGGGCCAGGACTGGTGGATAAAGTCTACGTGGCAGGTAAATAGACACGTGCCACATGTGTTTAATTTAAGACTGAGTGAGACGTCATTTCATAATTTTACTTCTGAGCATTGCAGTTCATAGATTGTCGGTCACTTGAAGTCAGAAATTAAATGGACTGTGGAAAAGTCATTAAAAGTATTAAAAATGAAGGCGGTAAATAGTTGTGAAAACAGTCGTAAGTATGGAAAATTATTGCTTTGGGACGTGGAAATTTAATGGAAGTATAGGTATAAGTACAGGTGGATTGCGATAGTTGCAG